AAAGAGGGACTTTCGAAATACCAAGATATGAGGAAGTGAGTGATGTGGCATGCCTGAAATAAATAGTATAAATTAGACAGTTGTGGGTTGTGGGTCTACAAGTCAGGAACCTAACTTGCTGACATTTGTGTAATGGAAAAAGCTAACTCCAGCTATTTTTCTGCATTTAGGTGGTTCCTAAATAATCATTGCAGATTTATGCTATGGAGCAAAATGTCCTCTGTGGGTTGCCTTTTAAGATCTGACATAGGATTTGAGTTTACATCACAAACATCTATAACATAAAATACTGCTTTGCAATTTGAAATCTGCTATCCTTGTCACAGGAATCTTAATGCATCCAGACACATTGTAGCCATTTTCTCTGTTCACAAAAAAACAACAGCATGACTTCCTTAAATGATTTTCAGTTACATCTAACTGCTTATTAACACAAAATATCTAATCAGCCAGCCTAACAGGAAGGCAACATTAACTCAAAGAACCACTTATTATAACCAGCGTGTGCAGAAGAACAACAACAGGTGGAATCTTGAAGCAGATGGGCTACAGCAGCAGAAGACCACACCGTACATAACTCCTGTGAGCTTAGAGCAGGTAACTTGCACAGGCTCACCTAAACTGGACAAGAGAAAATTGACCTGCTGTGATGAGTCTCAATTTCTGCTGTGACATTTGGATGATAGGGTCAGAATTTGGTATGAACGATTCGAAGAACAACTGTTCAGGCAGGTGGTGGTGGTGAAATGTTGTGGGAGCTATTTAGTACCCTTTAGTACCAAATGACCATCATTTAAACACCATAGCTACCTGAGTATCATTGTTAACCATGTCCATGACTTTATGACCACGGTGTACCCATGTTCTGATGGCTGCTATGATAACATGCCAAGTCACAAAGCTCAAATTTACAGTTACCTCAGTCTTGAAGACAAAATAAAAAACAAAACAAAAAAAAACAGCATTTCTTTTGTTTTTCATTTTGAATAATGTATGATTCTATCTATACATACACACACACACAAACCATTTAAGACTGTGTAGAGTTAAGAAAGCATTTTAGGGTAAAGACAGTGATACATCTCATCTATAAACCCTGAGTTGGGTTATACTAACATTACATGTTAAACACAATTTCAGGATGTTATGTTTAAATAGCAACATTATTATGCAATTTATAACCAGAACAAGAAACACCAGAGACAATGTGATACATAAAGTGACCTCGACTTTTGCGTCTTAACTAACCTTGCTCTGCATCAAACGTAGCTCTTCACTAAGGTGACAGTTGACTTTCAGAAGCTGTTGTATTTTGGCTTCTGATGCAGTGAGGGCGCTCTTCACCTCCATAAATTCTTGCACTGTGATTGGTCCATCAGACAGATCAGAAGACTCTGAGCTCTGCAGTGAAACATGCATACGGACATAAGATGGGATTCATTTGATCTGTATTACAAGTAAAGCCTACAGTAAGCAATGGAATAACAGGCTTCAAGAGACATTAACCTTGGTCCTTCCATCATTGCAGCTGTCTCCACACGTTGCCTCTTGGACCGGATCTTCATCTGATGCCACACTGTCGTAATCTGGCTGGTCATTATCTTGGCCCTCACTGTTGTGGTGACCGTCTATTCCCTGAAGGATCAGCTCCACATTATCTGAAAGCAGAGCCAAAGATCAAAGGACTAGGGATCAAACAGCAGTGCTGGCTACGGGCAGCTGTTTCAATCCCTTTTTATTGATTGAATCCAACACCCAGCATTCTTTATAGTGACCTCCTACAATTTTTCTTGGTTTTCTGTGAGTTGCAGCATGCAGGACATTATTAAGCCCCTTTTCATACATGGTTGAAACTTTAATTGTTGCCTGTGTACCGTAGCGTTGTCTATATTTCGCTCCACATTGAACTACAAAGAAAACACTTTCTGCATCTTATTATAGGCCAACAAATTTAGGTTCCCCCCCCCACTGCTTGCGGTTTTTGAAAGTGTTCTTCTGTTTATATGCTAAGCAGGACATTTACAAACTTAATATAGCCCAAAAAACAAAAGCAGATTAGCAGGGGAATTTAACATGTGCTACAAGTGGAAAATAATCATGTCCTACCTTTGGGACTTTCACAGGAATTACCCCACTGCCGTCGCTTAGCATCTGTTAGAATATCGATGACCAGTGTGGCAAATTCGTGAGCACTAAACCTTGCCAATTTCTGACGACCCTGAGAAAGCAAATAAATTAAAACCAAACCAATTACCAAATCTACTAGTCGCACACAAAGAAGTGAAGTTATAACATGAGGACATAAGGTGACAGCACTTGCCTGGTTTCTGGTAGATGAGTACTCAGGATTGACAGGCAGAAAAGGCACAACTGTGGTGTCTGTTACCAGCGTGCTGTGGTTCTGAGTGGCCAGCCACACTGAAAAAAGCAAGATGCACATAATGTTTAAATAAAATGTAAAAGAGCTTTATAGACGGTGTGATTTTTGAAAAATTATTTTTTTTAAAACAGTTCTTGTAATTCAACCTGCATCCGTTTCTCTTCTGTCGACTTCATCATAAACATCCATGGCCAGCTCTTCAAACTGATGGTTGCTTAGCTACAGCAAAGTAAGCAGAATTAGCACTTCTGTTTCCTAAAGAATAAACAGCAGATGAAGAAGAGGCTACACTGTAAATGTCACGGGAAACAAATCCCATGTAAAAACGTCTTACCGACTGCAGCTTCTTCTTTGCAGCTTTTGCAAACTCTGACAAATCCAGGCTGCTTTAAATGGAGAAATTAACAAAGTTTATTTATCCTGCAGGAAACAGCTCCACACTCACAAGAACAGTGGCTCGTGGCAAATGAGAAACTTACTTATTTCTTATCCATCCAATGCAGCACAAGAAAATAAGATGGTTAACGTATATCAACGGAAACTCACATTAACTCATTACCAGATCAAGTTTTTCAAATTAAAAGCTTTAACATTTACCTGTCTGCCATCTGAGGAATGATGAAGTGTTGCCCATTTCTGTGATCTGTAGCACAACAATGAAGAGATGACGTTTCAAATATTTTCACAATCAAAAGTTCTTGGGGTTTTTTTTGGCAGGGACTGACCCACTAGTGTGGTGAGGATAGCACAAAGTTGGAAGTGGTGATTTATAAAGTTGGTGATATGTATGTAATCTGTTTTATTTTTTAAATCATATATGATTTAATCTTATTGTCATTTGTTTTATCTTTCCAATTTTGTATCGAGTACTTAAATATTAAGTACTGTGTTTGCACAAAATATTTTAAATATAGGACTCCAGAAAACACTTTTTTTTTCAGTCATTTTTTAACAGTTTGTGTTGTTGAACTCATTTTTTTGCATATAAATGATTGAAAGCCATTTTAAAGCTATTGAATACATCCCTCTAATGCAAAGCTGCAGCTGTGCTTGACTGATTTACTGCATTTACCTGGTCTTCGTCCACAAAGGTAAAATGTTAGCCGGTCAGTGAGTTCATACTGGATCTCCACTAGTCTCTCTGCCAGCTCCTGATGCCCAGCTTGTCTGCAGAGGTACGGAACAAAAAGGTCAAGTTTCAGAAATATGCTAAAGAACTACAGCTAAAAATATCTCAGGTACCTTACAATGCCTTACAATGTCAGCATCATATTTTAAATCATGTACTCCCATACTATTCCACTATTT